TCACTCTGGGAGCCTACACCCTGGCACTTCCTGTTCCTCTGGGAACCCTTGGCCAAGCCTTCCTCATTCTTCTTGCGTTAGCTCAACTGTCTCCTCTGTCAAAGGCCACCCTCCATCCAAGTGGCCTTGCAGCAGTCCTTTCTCTCAGCCCCACAAGGTCACGTCCTCAGACAATCGTCACTATCTTTTCCCTTCCCCTGTCTTCCACAGAGCTTGTCGGCAGGGCCGGGGTTGGTAGCTCAGCTGGTAGAAGGCTTTGCTGCCACGCGTGAAGCCCCACATTTGATCCTGGGTACCACACAAACCAGGTGTGGTGGTGAACACAGCAATCCCGACCTCAGGAGGCAGGGCTGGGGAGATCAGAAGTTTAAACTCATCCTTGACTACATGATGAGTTCAAGGTCAGCCCGGCACACAGGAGACCTGCCTCTAAAGCATACAATTGATAGTTTAGGTTGGGTTTCAGCCTTGGGCAACAGTGTTTTTGCTCTCTGTAGGCTCAGAGAGGTTTTCCTCCATAAAATGGGGAGTAAACAAGGCCGTTTGCATGCTGCACAGTGCCTGGTTTCTAGTGAAATTCAGATATATATATATATCTGAATTTCACTGATATATATATATCAGAACTTCTGTCTCTCTCTCTGTCTCTGTCTCTCTCTGCCTCTCTCTCTCTCCCTGTCTCTGTCTCTGTCTGTCTCTCTCTTTCTCTCTCCATATATATATATATATATATATATATATATATATATCAGAACTTCTCCCTCCCTCCCTCTCCCTCTCCCTCCCTCTCCCTCCCTCTCCCTCTCTCCCTCCCTCTTCTCCCTCCCTCCCTCCCTCCCTCCCTCCCTCCCTCCCTCTCTCTCTCTCTCTCTCTCTCTCTCTCTCTCTCTCTCTCTCTCTCTCTCTCTCTCTCTCCAGGGCCGGTCTTCGAAGCACATACTCTGCAGGTCTCTCAGGGCTTTCAGATTTCCTTCTACATTGGAATGGCCTGAAGGCTAAGGGAGGACACGGATGGCTGGGTCCCACTCTGGGAATTTCTGCTCAGAGTGTCTGCCTTAGACTGTGAGGACCCTGTATCCCTGTCAAGCTCTTAATCGATGCTGGGGCCACTGGTTCAGGGCCATCCACAGAGCGCCACTGAGCTGGCCACCTGGCAGGTAGATCTGATTAGAGCGCACACACATTTGGAGCTAATTGAAGCTCAGTCTAGACGTATGATGATCTGTTCTCAGGACTAGTGGCTGTGGAATATCTGCCCATCAATCTAGCAGCTCAAGAGACATTTACTGAGTGTCTGCCATGCCCAGGCATCATACCAGGCTGCCTGACAGTGTCCACGAAATACAAAAACCTCCTGATCTGGAGAAGCCACAGCCCAGTGACTACGCTTTGGGGGCCAGGCTTCGGCTCGAACAGGCCCTATGGATAACAGAGACTTTATTGGAGTGGGTGGTTTGGGGATGTTGACTACTGCAGTCTTTGTAGCTGCGTTCTCTAGGCTGAGTTCACTCAAACACCCAGGTGAAACTGATTGCAATAATCCTCTAATCCCCCTGCCTGCAATGGCACTTATCACCTGTCACTAGTTTTAGTGCAAAGTTAACCCACAGAACAAGGCAGAGCAAAGCCTCTCGGGACCAGAGCCAAGCTGTGGCACACCTGTTATATGTAAGGGCGTCTTTCATTATCAGCCAGAAGTTTCCAACAACCAAAGCGGAGGCTGTCTCGTAACGCCTGGTAAATATCCGTATTGCTAGTATTGGTAGGTGATGTGAGTAGGGGCTTCCGTTACTTACTGCTACAGGTTCCCACGCTGGAGAGGCTGTTGTTAAAGAGCTCTGATTGTGTGTCAGCCACTGCACTGTGGGCTGTGACGTTGCTATCCCTTTATTGCTGGAGGAAATAGAGACTGGGATCCGTTCACTCTCTAAGCTGTTGTGTCGGGGGAGGGAAGTCAGTAAGCGGGAAAGCCAAGCTGTGGAGCATGATCATGATAGACGCTACAAAGTTGTCTGAGTGCTTGGCAATCCCACGATCTTCCCGAAGCTTTCTGCGGGTGGTGCAAAAGGAAGAGAAAACCTACCCTGCTCATCTTTGTTCGGAAGGCTGTGGGGATCATGGACAGTAACTGGCCAGTTTGTTTTAATCCTTCCAGTTCTCCTAATGAAACCTGACTGTATTCTAGAAGTTAATCAACAGACTCCTAATGTTTCTTTCTTTGGTCCAATTTCCTGGGTAGGCAATAGAAGAAAGCGCCTTGATCAGTTTGCAGAACTTAGGTCCTGGAGCGCACCCGTGTGGTCGGATTAGGTAAAAGTCGCCTAAATGATAGTCGGTTTCAAAGGCAACAGTTGCCAGATGTGCAGCTGGGGCCATTTTGTCAAGACATTGCAACAAACCCATACAGGTTCCTGCCTAAGAAAACGTAACGAAGCAGTTAAATTCGAGGGGGGGGTGACACAGCTCTAAGTTAGATAATGTTTAGAAAGGCTGCGTGTGAGATCCTGTGAAGCAGCAGGGGCCACTACCCTTGTTTCTGTTAAATCACGTGGTTTGCTTCTGCTAAGCAGGTTAGGGACTTCAGGGTGCAGAGGAGCCAGGGGTAGCTTTATGGGTGGCGCCGCGAAGGCCAAAAAAGTCCAACTTCCTGAGAAGCAATCCCTAGCCCTGGCCCATGTCTCTGCCTTCAGCAAAGACCCCAGTAATCAATGTTTGGAAGTTTGCTGTCATTTTGCTTTCCTCTTCTTGTTAATGGGCAGTCATTTTTAGGGGACCATGCTGCTCCGTTTTCAACAGAGCGAACATAGTCATGACCAGGGAAGAACCCGACTCTATTCATTGTGCAAAATGCTTACTTAAAGGGTTCCCAAGAGGACTTGCCGAGGGTGGCTAAAGCGAGCCCTGCCAGCGCCCGTCCCTAATCTCGGGGTTTGCTCCGTGGGAAAGTGGGTAACATGCCCTTTCCCCTTCCCCAGGCAGGCCGGGGAAGGGTTTTCTCTCCCATCTGTGTTAATGACCACGCTGCTGCCCGCTCCACCCCCACAACGCTGGGAGCGGAGCACAAGGCCTCGTTTGTGCTGGCCCAATCCTGTGCCACGGAGCTGCACCCCAGGCTCTAATTTTATTGCTTTAGGTCCAAGACTGGTTTGGGGCTCTGGGACAGAAGAGACCACACCCGCAGGTCCTGGATGAAGAGACCTAGCCTTCCTCTGCATCTTTGATGGGGAGCCAGAGGGCATATTCTGGACTTTGGAATTTAATGAGACCTCAGCTGCCTACTGTTTGGCATGGTGTTGGGGGGATGGGGGAGGGAGGGAGGGAGGGAGAGAGGGAGGGAGGGAGGGAGGGAGGGAGGGAGAGAGAGAGAGAGAGAGAGAGAGAGAGAGAGAGAGACCTGTGTTTAAAGAGCTACAAACAACAACAGTACCCTGTCTGACTTTCTCTTTTCCCTCATATTTTTTGGCAGCTCCTTAGGTCTGTGGTTCATTCCCAGAAAGGATGAATCCAGGAGTGGCTCCGGCTGCTGGAGACAACTGCTCCTTTGAGTGAATTCTTTTATGGGTATCAGTCAAAAAGTTTCTGTCAGCAGGAACAGGAAGGCATCATCGCTTAGAGTGTGCATGCATGTGTGTGTGAGCCTGTGTATATGTGTGTGTGTACACTTGAACATGCACAGGAGTGTGTGTGTGTGTATATGTGTGTGTATATGTACACTTGAACATGCACAGGAGTGTGTGTGTGAGTGTGTGTGTGTGTGTGTATACACTTGAACACACAGTGGTGGACATTTCATCTCACTAGCTCCATTCTTGGAAAAGCCACGTCTTCTTGGCAAGGGAGAGGAGACACTTCCCTGTGCACCTACAAATAAATCAGTAAATCATTAAATGACTCATCGTGACACACCCGGCACCTTTGTCCCCTCTCCTCCCGAACGTCTTAATCTTGCTTTCTTTGGGGAGAGTATTCTGAAATGCTTTCTTTGGGGAGAGTATTCTGAAATGCTTTCTTTGGGGAGAGTATTCTGAAATGCTTTCTTTGGGAGAGTATTCTGAAATGCTTTCTTTGGGGAGAGTATTCTGAAATGCTTTCTTTGGGGAGAGTATTCTGAAATGCTTTCTTTGGGGAGAGTATTCTGAAATGCTTTCTTTGGGGAGAGTATTCTGAAATGCTTTCTTTGGGGAGAGTATTCTGAAATGCTTTCTTTGGGGAGAGTATTCTGAAATGCTTTCTTTGGGGAGAGTATTCTGAAATGCTTTCTTTGGGGAGAGTATTCTGAAATGCTTTCTTTGGGGAGAGTATTCTGAAATGCTTTCTTTGGGGAGAGTATTCTGAAATGCTTTCTTTGGGGAGAGTATTCTGAAATGCTTTCTTTGGGGAGAGTATTCTGAAATGCTTTCTTTGGGGAGAGTATTCTGAAATGCTTTCTTTGGGGAGAGTATTCTGAAATGCTTTCTTTGGGGAGAGTATTCTGAAATGCTTTCTTTGGGGAGAGTATTCTGAAATGCTTTGCTGCCTGTCAGGTTTGCTTCCCCACTCTACTTGCCAGAGCTTGGTTTGGCTCTGTGGGGTTGAGTTTGCAACTCCTTTCTGCACACATTCGTGGAGTGCCTGCTCTTTCCCTCACTACTGCAGCGTGAGGTGTGGCAGTTAGTGTCTGCTGTGAATTCATCAGAAATGGGATTACAACTGAAAACACACAACTTTCACACAAAACACAAAACTTCCTTCTCCAACTACAGCTGGGCTTGGGGTCCTGGCAGTAAATCATTGTTCTAGTTTGTGGCTTAAATTCCCTGACCTTCATAAAAACAAAAGCAAAACCACAATCTCACTTAAGAGTTCCTTCTTCTTGGGCCTAAGAGAAGGGAGGGACCAGGAATAAAGGTCAGGGAGGGGCTTTGCAGAGCTTCCATACAGAGAGCCCCTCCCCCACCCGACCTGGGTTTGGTTTCCAGGAAGTAGGAGGGTGCTATTGCCTGCCTGGTGGCTTGAGTCACTCTTCACTGCATCTGGACCTCCCTCTCCTGCCTGGAAACATTTCTCCTCTGAGCCCAGAGCGCTGGTGTCCTGTAAGGTGAAACTGGCCAAGAGACTGTCACCTTCCTCTGTGGGCTTCACTAGCTAGCGGAGAGGCTGGCCAAAGGTCACAGCGGGCAGCACCCCCAGGGCTTTGCACAGACAGCTGGCTGGTTTCCTTGGTGGCATCTTGGAGAGACTGGGTTGAGTGGCCACTTCCCTGACTCTTCCAGCTTTCCCAAGGTGTTTTTAGCCCTCCGCCCCCATCAAGGAACAGACAGTGATTTCTAACTCAGGTCAGGACAGGAGGACCCAGGAAGCAAATTTAGCTTACAGGAAACCAGTTCTGGTCCATATTTGGAACCCAGAATCCAGTCAGTCAGTTTGTTGGCAGCCCACAGGCCGTGCTCGCATTCCTCCTCCACATCTGGGGGCTTACAAACATGGCTCTTTTTCGGACACATCTACCCATGTTTTAGTCTGCCTTAGCATGGCGCCACCCACCCCATCCATGCCAGTACTGGATATTCTATGTTTATTTCTGACCCCTGTGAGATAGTTCTCATGTGCAGTGGGTACGTGTGAACCAGGGTGTAGGTGGTGGTTGTGAATGTGTGGATAGGAGTGTGTGTGTGTGTGTGTGTGTGTGTGTGTGTGTGTGTGTGTGTGTGTAAAACCTGTCTGGCTCCAGGAATCAATATATTCTAAAGGGACACCTGGGATCCTCTTTGACTATCAGACTATTAAAACAAATTAAAATTTCCCCAGGAATCTCCAGATGGAAAGGAAAAGGCTCAAGCCCTGGGGCTGCCAGAGGTGAGTGTGTGCTGGAGGAAGTCTTAGTTTGTAGGGCAGACTGGGGGCTGAGATAAACGGAGGCCTGGGAGCCACACCTGGGCTGGACTGCCTGGTCTAGCAGTTCTAGCTTCTATTTGGATCTTACCCTCTTGTCAGGACTCTGAAGATGGGCTGTAGCCCACGGAGTAAATCTCCCTCTTTTGGTTTTCACTACTAATGTGGCACTTTTAATTGCCTTATGGAGGGCTGGTGGCCAAACCTGGTTTGTTGGGGTAGCGTCTGCGACCTTAAGGTCCAGTCACATGTGTGCACCAATCTATTCCTGTATATATCAGGTTTGTAAAAAAGACTTTATGCCAGAAGAGGGCATCAGATCCCACCATAGGTGTGTGTGGGCCACCACATGGTTGCTGGGAATTGAACTCAGGACCTCTGGAAGAGCAGCCAGTGCTCTTAACCACTGAGCCAACTCTCCAGCCCCGTATATATCAATCTGTAAGTATGAATGTTCATGCAGGCAAAGGCATGTGTAAAGGGATGTCTGAACGTGTATGTGGGCGTCTCTAGTGGACGTGGTTTTTCACCTGCTTAGGAAGACTCGCTCTTGTAGAGAGCACCAGAGAGCTGCATTTAAAGTTTAGAATAAGAAGATTTTCTAAAATTAATTTTTTTATTAAATAAGAAAAAGAAAGGTACAATATACATGACCATCAGTCAATCATAAGCTACTTTGCATTCCACCTTAATGGACTCATGATTCAATTTAGTTCTCTATACAAGAATTTAAATAAAACACCTCAAGTATTTGAATAACCTCCTGCAGATTTTTATTAACTGGGTTAGGGGAAGGGTTTTTTTTTTTTATCAGAGAGCATCCTGAACACATTAGGAAATTACAGACAGGCGCGAGATGAGCGTCAGACGGAACAGATGAAGCAAGCCCCTCAACCATCTGAGAAACATTAATAACGGAATACGGCAGAGACAAACCTTTGTTAGGGTACTGGATGCAAAGGGAAAGTGGGGGTCGTGGCGCCCCTTTGTGTTGCGAAATAAATCTGCAACTTAATTTCATTTTACTCTTGGCTTTTCTTTTGAGGTTGGTAATTCAGGCCCTTGTCCCTACACCTCAGAAATAATTGTTTCCCCAAATCATTGCAACCCCTCTCCAGTCCACCGCTTCCCTTCACCAAAAACTTCCAAGGACCCTATTTGAAAACCTACTGTTACCCATTCCTCTTTACACCCCACACATTCCATTGCAGAAAGCTAACAGATGCCCAGCCTGCCCAGAGTCCTCCTTCCCCCATCTAAAACAAGTGGGTCTTCCCTTACCCACTCAGGCTTAGGGGGATGAGGCGACATTTGCTACAAAGCAGAATATTCTTTTTCTCCTTTTTCTCATGTTTGCATTTTTCCTCTGCAACTTACTGGATACTGCCATCTTTTCATAACTTAACCCAAATGCCTTCATCTGCCTCCTCCATCCCACTCTCCAGCTTCCCTGGATTAACTAGTTAACCTGCTAACCCATTTTTACAGTTACATTGCCAGGAAAGACCAGACCAGAGACGTAAATAATACACCTCGATCTACAACCACTCAGGTTGAAGTTGTAGGCAGAATTTCATTGGCTGGCCAGGAGAAAAACAAATATATACACAGAGTGAGTCTGGGTGGGAGACAGAGTGGGAGGAGGACCCGGTGGGAACTGAGTGGTTTGTTTACTTGGATTTTCCAACTGGTCCGATGGATACGGGGTCCGTTTGCACTTGAGCATCCAACATCCGTTTTGGTCCCTGGAGAAAAACATAAATCGGTCCCTATAAACCCAACAGCAGCAACGTGTACTTACAATATACTTATTCTGAGCTAGGTGGTAGGCTAAGTAAAGATGCCCTTATCACAGGTAGACGTCCAGCTTCAACACCCAGTGACATTGCTTTCTGGTTTTGTGAAATCTTAGCTACACTATGATTTCATTTCTTTGCCTTTAAGATGAGAATGTCTAAACATCGCAGAGGGCTGTTCCAGAGATAAAGTGGGCTCATACTGTGACACACTTCGGGCAGTCCTGGGGTGGGGACTTCCTATTCTGGCTCATCCTAGACGCCTCATCTCTTGTCACCATCAAACAACTCATTCGTTCACTGTCTCACAAAATGGTGCTCCAATTTATTCCTCATCACTGGGCGTGGGATGTCCTTCTGTGTATGCTGCTGATATGTGTTGCTTTTATTGGTGGATGAATAAGGCTCCTTTGGCCTATGGCAGGGCAGAATGTAGCTAGGCAGGAAATCCAGATGGAGATACAGAGAGAAAGAAAGCGGAGTCAGGGAGATACCTTGTAGCCACCAGAGGGGTAAAACTCCAGAGCACTACTGGTAAGCCACTGCCATGTGGTAATACATAGGTTAATAGAAACGGGTTAATTTAAATGTGAGAGCTAGTTAGTAATATGCCTGAGCCATTGGCCAAACAATTAAAATTAATATAAAACCTCAGAGTGATTATTCAGGAACTGGCAGGCGGGAGCAAAACTTCCAGCCACATCACAATCTGACGTGGTCTTTCAGTCTTTTATCTGGCCATCTTCCTCCTCTGTGGATTCTGTCTGCGGCATCCTCAAGGCCATGCAAGTGCCTGGTGTGTGGAGGGTGCACCTCACTACTGTACCGGTGTGGCAGGTGGACCTGTGCAGGCGGGTGCTGTTACGACTGTACTACTGTACTTTCTGTCAAGTGTAACTGAGACTCACTCAAACTAGGCCTCCCTGCATACAGTTCTATGAGCTCAGATCAATTACAAATGCTCATGTTAGCACCATCTAAATCAAAATACATACCTCCCTTGTCTCTGTCCATCTCCCAACTAATAGACCCACTAAGACCTTCATGACATCTGACCTTTCCACATCCTACAGTTTTTTTTTTCTCTAGGACCCTTCTTTTTTGTTTCATTTTCCAGATAGCATCTCAATGGGTAGCCTAGGCTTTCCTAGAACTCACTATTTAGTGAAAGTTGGCCCTGGTCTCATAGCAATCTTCCTGAGAGCTTGCACCATTACGCCTATTTTCTAGGATTTCATACCAAGGAACAACAGAATCCCTAGCCTTTGAACGCAGTTTCTTCCCTGTCATACGTGAGTCAAGATTTATACATGTTACATGGATTGAAGGCAGTTACTGCCGGCTCTTTCTTCAGTATGGAGTGGAACTTTACAACCCAGGATTGTGAACAGAGTACATAAAGGTATATAGAGCACAGTTTAGTACTATAGTGTAGTATGTCATATAAAGAGAAAAGTGTGATATACTATATATAACATAGGATAGTGTATATTACATAATATATACACACTATCTGCCACAAAGTGTAGGAAGTATTACACAGTATAGTTTTTAAGTGTGTGTGTGCATGTATGCTCACATGTGTATGAGGCACATGTGAAGGCCACAGGTGGATGCCAGGCATTTCCCCAATTGCTCTCTACCTCATATACCAAGGCAGGGTCTCTTACTTGGACCAAGAACACACACTAGCCATCTTCCACCAGAAAAATCCTGTTTCTGCCTCCTTAAGTACTGGGATTACACGGTTGTAGCCCCACCCTCTCAGCATTTACGTGGGTCTTGGGGATACCAGCTCTGATGCTTTTATGGGGTGGAGATGGAACAAATCTGGGTATCTTGGCCACTCTGCCTAAAACTGCAGTCACCCAACCAAGAATTCTGCAGTGACCCAACCAAGAATTTATTAAAGATTAAAGGCAAGCTGGTGGAGTGGCTTGGGAACACAGACTTTTGACCTCACTCTCCGCTACTGTCCCCTATGCTATTTAGATCTTCCCATCCCTGCCCGCCCAGCATCCTCATCCTTCTTGCCCCAACCTCAAGCTTGTCTGCACAGTGCAGTGCCTGGTACCCAGTAGGTGCACAAGAATCATTTATTTAGTATGTATGTATGTATGTATGTATGTATGTATGTATGTATGTGCCAGCTTTACAGCCACTTTGGGGACTAATACCTCATCCCTTTGCTAAGGACCAAGAAAGAAGACCGCATCCACTTACCAGCCCCTTCAGGAAGCCCCCGAGGGACTGTCGCCGCTTCTCGGACCTCTTTGGGGTCTTGTCCCCATTCTGCAGTGAGTTTGCCTCCACCATGGGCTGCTGCACGCATTGCACAGGTTCTCTGGCTTCCTGTTTGCTGCTCTTCTGCTTGTTGGTCTCGGCCACTGACTTCTTGTCCTTCGAGGAGTTCTCCTTGCTTTTCTGGGCTATTGCCGCGGGCTCTGGCTCTGGGGGCGCAGGTGTCTTCTCCGCGGAGTTTGACGTCTACAGTAATTTCAAACAGAGCCCTTGCTTAGTGTCTGAAAGATTATTCTAAGTAGCAGAGGGGTAAATGTGCTAAATGTTGGAAATGAGTTTGGGTAATGTGTGGAAAAATAACTTTTCAAGGTCATGCATAGCAGGGGTACATTTATTTAATAATAGCTACCCCATGAAATCTAGGCAAACTAATTCTACGCCCAGATAAGAGCATGTGGTCCAGGCCTGTGTGTGTGTGTGTGTGTGTGTGTGTGTGTGTGTGTGTGTGTGTGTGTGAGACAGGGCACTGTACAGCTATGATTGGTTCAGGAGAGCTGAAGACAGCTCTGATTGGTTCAGAATAGGTGAAGACAGCTCTGATTGGGTCAAGATAGCTGAAGATAGTTCTGATTGGTTCAAGGTAGCTGAAGACAGCTCTGATTGGCTCAGGATAACTGAAGACAGCTCTGATTGGTTTAAGATAGCTGCGGACAGAAGCTGATCTGATATTAGAGCTCTACTAGAATAATCAAGAGGTCTGGATTTACTCCACTGAATTTGAAGGTATGAACCTTCAAGAGTTTGTTTCAAGAGAAAAAATATGCCTGGATAAGAAGTCAACATGGGAAAAAGCAGAGCCGTGAACATTCATTTGAAAGAAATCAGTATGGATGTCATCATCTGTGACCTTGGATCCAGCCATTCCTGAAGCCCAGTGTTGAGAGGGTGTCCTATAATTAGCCTAAGTGACTTATTTCTTGAGGGTGCTCATTTTGAGATTCATAATTATATATGCCTTATATTTTTATGTGAAACTGACCTTTTATTTCATGAAATGGTAGTTTTTAAAAAGAAAAAAAAAACCTGGTGGCTATTTTTAGTTTTGAATCAGCACTTTTCAATGCCAAAATGAGGCACCCTACATGGTACCTACAATGAAGAGGCTGTAAAAACCCCAGTCCTAGACGGTCTGGGAAAGCTGTAGCTACACAGAAGAACAAAAAGAAACAAACAAACTTCCACACTAAAACAAACAAACAAAAAACCCCAAATCAAAATCTGGCAGGAAGTTCAAATCTTTTTGTCATCTTATTTCTTGACCTCAATTAGCTACCGGTACAGACCATAGAAAAGCAGAGAGAAGGGAGACCAAACAACCCCAGAGGGGTCTCACTCCCCAGGGGTAAGCAAACAGAGGTCCAAGTGAACTCTCTCTGCCAGACGCAGGACTCAGCAACTCTGGCTTTGGTGCAGAGGAGGCAAATGGGAGTAACAGGAGAAATTTGACAAACTCAATGTCACACGTACCGTCCCATGGACTAGCAGCTGCCCAGATCCTAGCTGGGAGACATCATGTCTATACATGGCCATCATGGGCCTCAAACTTGTCATCCTCCTGCCTCTGCCTCCCAAGTGCTAGTGGTCCCATGGCCCCACATGAGGCTTCTGAGACCTTGGACAAAGAACTCTTCTGAAGTGCGATGATCAGTAAGTATCAGCTTTGAAAGTCACAGCAAACAATGGAAGTAGAACTGCTGCCCTATGAGCCACATTTGACCCACTGACACAGGTCTCTAGACTCTGGTTCACGAAGGCTGTCATGTGTCCAGGCAGGAAGTCCCATGGCAGTGCTGACCGAGAATAAAGGCTGGCGTTGTGCAGCAGTGAACCCAGCACAGCTCTGAGAAAGAAGCCAAACCACAAGAGGACAGGCCACTCTGGTACAGAGCTCAGGGTGACTGCAGCTCTCAGGGAATTAGACGTCCCTGAGGTAGTCAACACTCTTCAAATTATTCTGCAGGCACACGTCCCTAATCCTGTCATTTCCCAACAGCCAAAGCTGCAGCAAGTGCTGAGACACGGAGAAGCCCTAAGCAGCAGAGGAAGCCCAGAGCAACTGTCTCCGCCCAATGAAGGGGACCCCACCCCGATGTTCCTTGGGAAGGCCAGGAACCTGTGATGCTGTGAGAACCCCCGAATCTCCACAAATTGTGTGGAAGATGCCAGCATCTGGCAGTGACTCAAAACAGTTCAGTGGAATCAGAGACCTGGCTTGGGTATAATTCCATCATGTCCTTGTGGTGTGGCCAGGAGTCCCTTCACACCCTCACCTGACGGTTTGCGTCACCTGAGGGTCAAATTGCCACATCTGGCCACGAGGAATGCCAAACACAGGGTGAGGATCATCTTGGGTTTTCTTAGAGGGACATAACTGACAGCTTGACATTTAGGAAAGTCCCCAGCCAACAGGCGAACAGAGGAGCCGGACACCCTCTTATCCGTGCCTGCAGTTCCTCTTTTCAAAAAAGGCGAGGCTCTGAGTGCGCAGTGCCCACGAGGCACTGGGAAACAAGGACGCAGGGTGACACACTGGTGGCCCACCGCTCGCACTGGCCAGATGCAGGGGCTCCCCCTCCCCCGCTTCCCCGGAAAAAGTCCATCTGGGAACTGAGCTTTTCCTTGTTCCTTCTGTCTACAGAAATAGAAACTTTAGACTGTATTCTGAAGTATGCTGTAGGTTCATGGGATATGATTACAGGATGGCCATTCCCTACCAACCGTTTAATAATAATGTCAGATAGCACTTGCAGGTGGCTGGGTCATGCATCCCCAACTCATGGCCGAAATGGCGACTGCCCTTTGTGGTTGAGTTTGGAGTAAATGAGGCTGTACTGATGGGGCTCTGTTCCAAAGGCTCAGCACTATTATAGGAAGAGACACGAGGGGGCACTCTTCTTCCCTCACTCCTCCTATCCCCCTATTTCCTCTGCAAGGCAAGAGACAGCCATTTGCAAGCAAGGGAGAGAGCCTCCACTGGAGACTGAACTATGTAAATACTTTGAATTTTTAGCCTTTCCGGCAAGAGAAACGTGGGAAAAGAAACTTCGGTGGTTTAAGGCACTCAGTGTACGCTGCTTTGTTGTGGGAGCCTACACTGGTATAAACCAGCTTATTGAGCCCTCCGTGCCAGCAAGGCTCTCAATGCCTCCTCAGTACTCATTCATCTAGCTGGCTGCCCTATCAAGTCTGCTTCCCCTACATCCTCCTAGGTGTGGAAACAGAGGCACTGGGAGGTTCTGCCAAAATACCTACAGCAATAAAACAATAAAAAACAAAAAGACCTTGGCTAAGCCAGGATCTGATCCAGGCCCTTTGAGTCTAAAATCCAGGCTGTTAAGTGCTCCTTTATATTATTAAAATTAATACAGGGGTATTTGATATTTTTATAGAGGTATCTATTTAAATGAAAAGAAGCGCCATATTATAACCCAGAGGGTCATTAGATGATGATGAACACCTAACTTTCCTCCCTCTGGCCCTCAAGTGCAGGGATTGCAGGCACGAGCTACCACACCTGGGCTTCTGCGGTGCTGGGATGGAATGCAGGGCTTTGTGTATGTGAGGCCAGCTTTCTACTAAGCGAGCTGCATCCCCAGCCCAGTGATCCATTTTTAAAGAGAGATCCCGTGCAGATATAAAACATTCTGTTAGGAATGAAGCAACCACCCATGTGTTTTAGGATGGTCCCTACTACTATGTGCCAGGCACCGCACACGGGGATAGAGCAACAGAGGCACCGCTTGCTCCACAGTGCTCCGGACATGCGTGGGAGAGGCGGGCAGGAGAAGCAGACAGTGTCATGGAGTGAACAAACAAGATGGCAGTGGTGACCAGGTATAGGGTCTCCTTGAGGAGGTGACATTTCTGCTAAGACTTGAAGGCTGCTAAGGAGCTTTCCACACGAAGAGAGAGGAGAGAGGCGAGACACAGCTGAAGACTTGTTTATACCATGTCTGCAGAGCCAGCAGCATACAGCAGGTGCTTAGTCAGGAAATGACTTGCGGATTGCATTGAAAATGAGGCTGGAGAGAAGTGAGAAGGCACCAGCTAAACCCACCACCAGAGTGAGGTCAAGGTCACTTACTTGGCAGGTGGCGTCTTTCCCATTACTCTCTTCCGAGCGGGTGGTCCCTCCATCCCCTTTCACTGACTACAATAACAAACAGACAGTGGCCTTTGAGTGACCGGAACACAGCAACCACAACAGACACAAGCCCTTCCAAAAACCCATGACCCCCACCGTTTATCACTGAGATTTAGGGTCAAGGCACTAAAAGAACAACCAGGAAGGGGTCCCTCACAGAGGTGTGGACCCGCGGGTCATCAGAGTCCCGACGGAATTCAAGTGTTGGCTTCCCAGAGGAGCAACATGAGCGCCCCCCCCCAGTCCCTGGGGTTATGCAATTCTGGGATGAACAGCTCGTGAGGAAAGCAACAGAAGCCTTGAGGTTGGCTCTGGTGGGAACAGCTGCTGTTGCAGAGTGTGACCCATGGAGCAGCTGTGACTGCCATGGGAGACCCTCCAAATCAGAGAGGAGGGGCGTCATTAGAGCCGCACCTGAGATCCCAGCCACTCTTTCCCCCCCCTCCCCTCCCCAGCTGTACGTGACTCTGTTTGCGGTCTCAGGAAGGACTAGGACATCCAGGTGTAGGAGGCTAATTGGGGAGAAGGGTAGCGCTCCATTAGCTAGCTCTAGCTGGCTATGGGGAAGTCATTATCCTCGCTGGGGTGAGACCTTCCAATGCTGCAGCTGCTTCGGGGTCACCGGAGTTCCTATGAGTCACCCCTCACTCGTACTCTGGAAGCAAGGCCAATAAACTCATTAGTTTACCATGTGAGACCTCGGTGGAGTTGCTACTCTGCTCAGATGCTGGCACCCTATCTGGGGTGAATAGGTATTTGTTCCTGTCTCCCAAGGAAAATGCATGGAATCCCAGCACTTACGGATTGAGGCAGCAGGAACACAGGGTAGCCTGGGCTAAATGAGATCCTTTTACAGATGGGGGAGGAGGAGAAGTCAGAAAGTAATGTTGGAAGGAGGAGGCGATTAAACATGAATGAATGAAAGAATGACCATCAGGGCGTTGTAGCCTTCCGCTGGTACCACCTGGCTGCCAGCTCTTCACTATTTTCACCCTGCGGAGCACTGGATTGGTGAGCATTCCATTCTCCATCCTTTAGCGCCCCCTAGAGCCAGTGGCTTCCCTGACAGGCTGCATCTAGTTGACTGTGCACCTTGGATTCAGTCAACCAGGTGAGCTGGCCTTGTGGTTGCAAATGTGTGGCCACAGGCTCAGAGGCATCAGCCTCACCTGGGGACTTGTTAGAGCGATGCAAATTCTTCACACCTGCTTAGATGCAGCTCGGCCGACTCAGACTCTGGGGGCTAGGGCTCAGCCACCTGTGTTTAACAAGCCCCTCAGGGGGTTCTGAGCATATTAATGCGTGAACTGGCCCCGGTCACACTCAGACTCACCCTGAGTTCTGTAGTTTAACTGTGCACACAGTAGTGCCCAGTGCTCGATGCAATCAGATATCCACAGGATGTGACGACGAGCGCTCAGGCCTCATCAGCCTCAGAAGAGCTGCTAGTCATTACCTCCCATCGTGGGCTGAAGGCGAGACTCCCACCTGCACTGTCATCAACTGGGCTGTTCTTTTAGAAGACAGCTTGCGCTCACTATGCACAGCCAAGACCAGTTGACCCTGATCACGTTAAGAGCAGGCAGGGGTCTGGCTCAGCACCTTCTGTGAAAGCAGCAGGTGTGAGGACAGACCCCGGGAAGTTGGGTGGGCCCGGTGACCATTTGTAATCCCAGTACACGGGAGGAAGAAACAGGATTCCTGAGGTATGATGCTCAAGATACTGGAGATGAGTACAAGGTCAACTCTGAGTGGCCAGGCAGCTGAGTGCAGGCACTATGCCTAAAGAGAAAAAAGTGCTTCCAGAACAACCTCAAAAGCTACACTGAGACCCTGTCTCAAAAATCCAAAAAATAAAAAAATAAAAAAAGTGCTTCCAGAATAACCTCCAAAGCTACACAGAGACCCTGTCTCAAAAATCCAAAAAATAAAAAATAAAAAATGTGCTTCCAGAACAACCTCCAAAGCTACACAGAGACCCTGTCTCAAAAAAAAAAAAAAAGTGCACGATTTATTCACCAAGCAGAACCTTAACAGAGGGGAATTGTTGCTTTTCTCATTTTACTATCCAACAAAATGAAAGCTCAGAGATGCTAGGCTGGGCTGTGGACCTAGCTGGCTAGAGACAGTGTTAACAGAGTGTGGGCATCCCTATCCTAGAGCCACATCTCCAGAGCATCCCAAGTACAGGGTACACCCTCGGTGTATGTCTCTTGATTGGCTAGGGATGGAGGGTGGGGCGCTGCCCAGTTCTATGAACTTCCTTTTCCTTTGTTCTTTGAGACAGGCAGGCCTTGAACTTGTCATCTTTTGGTCCACCACATGTGTGTTGGTATTTTGCAACTCAACATTTCCCTGGGAGGGGGTGGGTGGCTCACTTGGTGAACTGTTTGATTTCCAAGTATGAGGACCTATGCTTCACCCCTAGAGCTCATATTGAAAAGGCCAGGCATGATAGAACATGCTTGTAACCCCAGCACTCGGAAGCAGAAACAGGTAGCCCTCTGGGGTTTGCTGGTCAGCCAGCCTAGCTAAATTGGTGAATTCCAGGTTCAGTGGGAGACTCTTCTTCAAAAATAACAGGTGGGTGCTTCTAGGGGGATGTCACTCAGTGTTGACATTCACATGCACACTGCCACACAAGAACACCTCCCCACCCACAAACACACACAGTAGTCCCTCCCTCCCCAGGCTAACTGCTATGGACAGAGCTGTGTCCCGAAGGCCACTCCGAGGTGTGAGTCAGCAGAAGACTCTTGCTGCTGAACCCAGGGGGCCCAGCGAGATCCCAAAGTGTCAGTATTCCAGCAGATGGTAGGAGGGCTGGCCTCAGTAGCCAGAGAAGTTGATTCCCTTTTCTCAGCGCTCTCGGGCTTGAGCCGGAGGAAGGAAGAGCCACTCTTCATGACCTGGGGTCTAAATTCCAAGTTGAGGACACAAGGGATGGTCCCCACAGGCTTTGGCTTTTGAGCACTTGGTCCCCACTTGGTGACATTGCTTGGGGAGGCTTCCAAAGTGTGAGCTTGTGAGAGGCGGGCTTTGAGGGGTTAAAGACTTTCACCTTTGCTGTTTCTCTGCTTCCTGCTTTCTGTTCAAGACCTAACTCTCAGCTTCCGGCTCCAACCACCATAAACCCTCTTTTATACACTGCATTGGGCATGGTGCTTTATCACAGCAATAGAAAGGTAACCGCTGTAACATGCACACACGAAATGGCTTTTAATCAAAAACCAAACAACAAAAACAATGGCCCTTCACAGCCTCTTGACAAAAGAACTTTGGCGTTCTGAGAGAGTGCCCTTGAACTGGATGTTCTTTAAGTTGGTGTTCTACGGGTGCTTTTCCAGGTCAAGGGGTGGGATATGCTTTGATTCCTCTGTCTCTTTGGTAGTCTTGGAGAACTGGGTCAGATCAGCTGGCATACCACGCTGTGTTGGCATTCTGTGTGAGAGCAGAGCTCCAGGACCTCAGGAAGACCACTGTCAATTCCATCCTTCTTGAGGGAAAACGGGACAGTCTCTCGCGCCTTCTGATGGCTCTCCTCTGCTCATTTCAGCCACAAGAAGCTGTGTGTATGCCAAGCTAACTGACTTCTGGTGCCAGACAAAGGTGTCATTAAGTTCATCTGAGGCCACTTCCTTAATCAGCCCTGTCATGCATAACGACGCCTCCCACCTGCACTCCCCAGACCCTAACTCCTCCACAGAGCCAGCCCTCATCAGTGACAACTCAGATAATTGGTGTTGGGCTTGGCCATCCAAACAACTGTAACTACCGAGGCTTTATTTTTTCCAGCTGTCAAAAATAGTAACCTTATGGGCTGAGGATACTAAAATTCTTTCAGAGAGGATTCAGTGTCCTGTAGAAAAAGTTTAGAGGCTCGGAAGCAATTCTGCAGATTTTTCTGCTCTCTGCCGAGGAACTTGTTTCACCCGTGGTTTTATTCATGAGACAAAGGAGAAGCAGCTCAGGGCTCCAGCTTGCAGTTTAGAGACAGAATCTCATTGTGGTGTCTGAGCCTTGCCTGTTAACGGTGCCCGTTTTTACTGCTTGCACGGTGTCATGCATTTTGATAACTTGATACTCCGAGGAATATTGGAGCCGCTTCCAATATGGGTCTACTTAGATGGCCAACATTAGAGAAGAAACATTTGGTGGACGGTTCACATTTTGTTTGGAAAGGAAGACAAATGCCAAAACTGACAGCTAAAAGAGGTGAAATGGGTGTGGTGACTCAGGCCTTTAATTCCAGCACTGGGGAAGCAAAGGCGTGGAGGATGTATTAGTCAGGGTTCTCTAGAGTAACAGAACTATGCGATGAATCTCTCTCTCTCTCTCTGTCTCCATATATATATATACATATATATACATATATATATATATATATATAATTTATTGGAATGATTTATAGGCTGCAGTTCAGCTAATCTAACAATGACTGGCTGGGAATAGAAAATCCAAGAATCTAGTAGTTTCTTAGTCCCCAAGCCTGGATTTCTGGGTTGGTCTTCAGTATACACAGGAATCCCAAAGAAGTAAGCTCTAATGCCATTGAAGGAATGGACTGGCTAGCGCCCTGGGGGGGGGCGGCAAAGAGCAGAAGCCTCCTCGCTCGTCCTTATACAGACTTTCAGCAGAAGGCGTGGCCCTGGCTGTGTCTTCCCACCTCTGGATCCAGATCAGAGCTGTGGATCGTCCCACCTCAAAGGCCGGGACTAGAAGTGGATGCACCCAGGCAAAAATGATCTCTCATAGGTCTGCCCTCCGTTTCTGGATCCTAGTTCATTCCCGATGTAGACAAGCTGACAACCAAGAATAGCCGTCACAGTAGATCTCTGTGAGTTCAAGGCCAGCCTGATGTACATGATGAGCTCCAGGACAGCCAGGGCTACAAGGAGATACCAATCTCAAACCACAAACAAATAGACAAACAAATAAAGCACCACCTCCAAGGCGGAGAAGAAGCAGGGTGGTTATTTATTTGCTTATTTATTGGATACAGGGTC